GGATTAAAATCTGTAGAAGTTGAGGATGCCACTCTGTTAAACGAAGGAAAAAAAACCTACAAATTCTATTTGCAATCATAATAGTAAAATAGAATGTTAGTCATAGATTAAAATTAAATGATTAATCTATTACTTCTATTACATATTTTCCACATGCATAAATCCACACATGATTGCTGTAAATTTAAATCACAAGCTAATTTTACTTTAAAAAAAAATTCTAATTTTCTTATGCATGCATCTCATTTTATCAATATTCACAAGTGCATACTAACTCCCACCAACAAAGAAATGAAAAATCACTCATGCATGTTCTTTCGAGCATATTGTCTACTTAAAGAGGTTTTCAAATGCTAAGGTCGATGCCTCACATATGAATCCAAGAAGGAAAAGTATACAGTTCCTTGGCCCCTATACAAACTTAACACTTCTTTAGGTTTATCTTCATCAAGACTTAAGAAAGGGGACCAAACCGATTGGTACAACCAATTCGACCGTGAACCAACCAATGATCCAACTTTAGAAAAACTAGAAATAGATTTCGCATCAAAGTAATTAAAATAATACTGAATTTCTGATTCAACAGAGAACTAATGAACCATTTGTGTTTATGTTTAGATGTGGGACTAAAGTTAGATTGAACTTGAATGTGAATTTTTATGAATATTTACATGCAAACCACTCGAATCTTATTTATTTACATATCTAACACCAAAACTTGTATTTTCTATATTTTCTGGAATATTTACATGCATACCACTCAAATCTTATTTATTTACATAGCTAACACCTTGTATTTTTTATAAATATATTACTTAAATAATTTAAAATAAATTTTTTTCTTGCATTTACATGCACACCACTCAAATCTTATTTTTTTACATATCTAACACCTAAACTTGTATTTTTATATTTTTAGAAATATTTACATGCATACCATATTTATTTACATATCTAAAACCTAAACTTGTATTTTTTTTTATTTTTTTAGGAATATTTACATGCATACCATTCAAATCTTAGTTATTTACATATCTAAAACAAAAATTTCTATTTTTTATAAATATACCACTTAAATAATTTTAAAAAATAAAAAAAATGTTAGCATTTGTTTAATGCATATAAAAAATTAATAAAAAAATATATAAACAAATACTATTATTTAATTATTTAATTATTTCTAGTCAAAACAAGACGAACACGAACAAACAAATATTTATTCGTGTTCGGCTTGTTTATAAATCAAGCCCAAAAATATTTGTATTATCAATTTATTATTATATTATTATATAATTTAGGTCATATTTAATTATTTTATATATTTATTATGCCATCTGGTTCAACTTCCGGTTCAACCCCGATTAAACTAATGAACCTTGAATCTTTCATTCTTTTGTTTTGATGTCCAGTCCGGTTTTCATAACCTTGATCTTCATAAAGGCTGGAAGAGGACAAACTAGTGTTAATTCAAAATACAAAATTTCAATATGGACTATCAAGCAAGTGCAATACAAATCAAAGTTTGCATGGTAAGAAGTGCACATTTGGTATAATTCTGTCTTCCTAACTTAATTATGGTCCTTAGATTAATTTTAAGTCTCATACATACATATGCAATTGGTTTCATACATAATGAGGAATTAATTATGAATTTATGATTTTTGTTCTAAAACATTTTTTTAGGAATTAATTTTGAATTTTTTTTATAATTCACATGTAAACGAAGCCATTTATTATGGCATACTTCTTAAATCATAGTTGATTAATTTCCAAATTTTGTGATTGCTTTATCGTGGGTTAAGTTTAAAATTAAAAAAAATAAAACTTTTAAATTTCATTAGAAACATTGGCCAAGTTTCATCCACATATTTTACATTTATTGTTTATGCACAATATTCTTATAAGATGGTTTAGCTCTTCACATGTTATGGTCATTTTATTCACTTTGTTAGAAGTTTATTTTTAGAGACCAAGTATTACTCATAATTGATGTGATAATGCTCATACACCTTGGTTTGAGCCCATGTGCCTTCTCTAACAACTTGAAAATTAGATTGGTATGAACCTTTCTCGAGCTACTTAATAACATGCTAGAGAATCATTACTTAAGAAAATTCACTTTTTATTTCATCACATATGGCTTCTTTTTTTTTTTCAAAATCACATCAGGCTTCTTATCTAGCGTATAGCGGCTACAAAAAATCTCTAGTTTAACAACTTTGTAAACCTAACTTAACGTGATCATGACAGCGGGTTAAAATCCTAAACATCTAACAAAAAATAAATCACAATCGCAAATGATAGAAAACGAAAAAACAAAAGGAAACTTGGCATTCTTCAAGGTGGATATGACTCGTGCCTCTGTGACTTAGGGGGTCGTGGGGGTTCGTAATTCTCATCAATATTATCTTGCATGGTAGTTATCAACATTGGTCTTAATCTTATGACTAAGCCAAAATAATAATCTGAAACCCATGAAGTTAAGTTTTGCTTAACCCCATAGCATTTCCCAGAATTCTTTCAATCTCTTATCTAGGTTGCAAAATCATACTAGAATATGTCTATTCTGCCAACATTTTATGGTTAATCTAATCGTTGCAATATGTTGCGGGCAGAATTGCTATATCACGATAGCTTTTAACATCCTAATTAGCCTGACTAGAAGTAAATGAAATCCAAATGGTTAACCAACAACATAAATACATGGAAGCTCAAAAAAATACTACAGAGAAAACATCTCAAAAAATTATGGAAAAACCACTAACCCTACATCAGAGAGACACGAAAAGAGGATTTATCCATGCATGGAAGAGAAAATCACAAACAAGAAATCCATGCAAGTCATTATTTCTAGAAACAAGGAGTTACAAAAATTTAAATAACGACTTGTACTCTCCCCAATAGTGGGATAAAAGAGAAAAGAGAAAAGAGGAGGAAAAATAAGTTTTACTGACTTTTCATCTTTGCTTTTTTTAAGCCTCTCCAACTTCATTTTTACTAGTGCAACTGTAAAACAAAGAATTTTATTATTATTAACAATATCAAGACTAAGATTGATTGTATTTTCAAAGATTTTATTGAAAATATTATCAAAATATCTCACCCACTTATGTTCAATATTTTCATCTAAGAAAAACACTTTTTGATTTTCATCTTTAATACACTTTACTTAAATGAAATATTTACTTTTATTTTCTCTTTATTTGGTTAGTTTATGCATATATCTTTAACCCTTTTACTTTTGAATCTATTATAAATATCACTAAAAGCAGAAGAATTAGCATCACAAATTGTTTTCTTAGACATCTTACTGGCCACCTCATATATTTCCAAGTCTTCTGTGCTTTTACATTAAATAAAGTTTTATAACAAAATTTCTTATATTTTATCTTTTCTTACACATTATTATTCCACCATCAACTATTTTTATTCATAAAAATATTCCTTTTGATTCTCCAAGTACATCTTTCGCCCCTTATTTAATATTCTTTGTTACTTTATCTCATCGAACTAGCTTCTTCATGAACATCCCAAATAATAAAATATTGAAGTCTGCTCATAAAATTAAATTTATGTCTTTTAGTTGCCCCATTTAATTCTATGATAAAGTTTCATTATATTTTTTTCATTTTCCAACTCATCTTAAATTTCAAAACTAATAATTAATGTCGAGTACTTAAATTTTCACTTTGAATGACGCTACAATCTTTACCTTCTCGATGATTTATTTTTCTCATAAGAAAATAATCAATTTATATTTTATTAAATCCATTATTATAAGTAAAACTATGTGTATCTTTTTTCTTAAATAAAGTATCAACAATAATAAAATCTTAAGCTAAAGTAAAATCTAATATGGTTCTATCTTCTTCATTAATCACTCCAAAATCATATCCACCATGAATACTTCTAAAATCTCCTATTACTCTACCAACATAACCATTTAAATCTCTTCCAATAAAAATTCTTTCTTTAAGAGGCATCGTTTGTATTAACAATTCTTGGTCATTCCAAAAATTTTTTTCTTGAACCTATATTGAAACCTACTTGAAGAGCATAAACACTTATAACGTTAAAAACCATAATATAAATAGAAATCAATAGGGCTATAATTCTATCTCAAATTCTATTAATTTTTACAACATTACTTTTTAAACGTTTATATAAATTACACTTGTACCATTTCTAGTCCAACTCCTATATGAATACCAAAGTTTAAAACCTAAACAATCAATCTCCACAACCCTTTCTCCAACTTATTTAATTTTTTGCAAGCATAAGACATTTATCTTCCTATAAACTATAATATCTAGTGGTTTCATTAATTTACTCTGAGAGTAACTATTTTTCAAAATTATATCCTAATATTAGTTTCTTAGACCAGCTTCTTCGTACACATTCGTGCATAATGTGGGAACCCTTGCTTATTTATCACACCACCCAGATAACGATATAGTGGCTCTTGCACACTTCTCAATATATTCAGATTATACAGCGCAACGTTTACGGAGGACACCCTAACATTTACACAATAATTTAAAGAATTCATGTCATAATTTTTCAACAAAGTTTTATGCTCACTATCAACTACCTAACACAACCCTTTACTTTTCGTATCCGAGATTTGAGACCCACCAATAACAATGTTTCCCAACCAAATTAAACAAAAGAAAAATATTTGACAACAATGATACTCGAATCTTCAAACCACTTGTTTATAATAAGATCCATAATTAATAATAAAATCCACTGTCGTTTCACATGCTGTGTTATTTAGTCATCTACAATGCAAAAAAAAAAAAAAATCAGCTCTTATTTGATCCACACTTCCACATACATGTACATGGACATAAACATCCAAGTATAGAATATACTAAAATCCGTTAAAAAAAATTATTTAAAAATATTTTACGTTTTCACCATTAAATTGAGAAATAAATATTTAAAAAAAATGAAAACTGCAAAGAATTGAGCTAAAAAAAAAAAAAAACATCTCGAAATAAATTATATTTCTAAGGACAGCATGTATATTCATTTGACTTCCAATACCAAGCAATATTACATACACATATAGACACAAAATACAATGCCAATGTCCACATGTTGAAAACTCGCCTGTCTTCATATACGCTTCAGATAGAGCAAAGAGACAGATCTTTATGTACTACAACTGTAAACTATTAATAACTATGTATGTATTATTGGATGGCCGGAAAAACGTAAAACACCATTTAGCATTTGGAACCGGGCGGAAATGATCATTAACCAAAAAGAGCACCATGCATCATCAAACATTGGCAAGAAGCAACACATACAGTAAGCATTCTATAGCAGTAGCTCATCATCTGAGTCGCTTTCAGCTGCACCAATCAGAATGGGGAGGGGCCACGCCAGCTCGCTCACTGAGAAATCCCAAGCTGAGGATGCCTGAGCCTCTGCATCATCTGCAGAGAAGTCATCTTCTGGAGAGCAGTCCTCATCTTCCAGTTGCCATCTAAGCACCATTTCGCGGCCATCTCCGACAAAATCAACATCTAAGCGTGGATTAAGAGAGTGGCCGCGTGCTTCGACGTGGCATATACTAGTGCAACAAAAAAAAATATATATATTGGTTCAAAAATTAGATTAAAGGATTAGGGACTAATTCCAGTTGTAAACAAGCAATGAAAATTTCCATCATTTAAATATCATATAGAAAGCATAAAAAGATGTGGAATACTGCAAATAACACTTCATTCCAGAAAATAGAATCAGGATTCAACAATCATTTTCATTTACTGAAAGCTACTGATGAGTGAAGTTTAATGCTAGTGCACTGCAGCACTATTAGTTCCTGCTTTTGCATAAATCATGTCAAAACCAAGAAGATTTCTAGTTTCGAATACGGTTTAAATTTGAACTAATTATCTTCAAGCACCAAGAAAAAGCTTATGGAGACAGTAAATACGAGCTGATAATCATATCGAGGTAGCATAAAATATGTTGGAATAGGACTGCTAAGCAAACAGAAGTGCTTCCACAAATACAACAAACTTCCTTATTTTGATAATAGTTATCTTGAATCATGCAAGATACCAAAGATACCACTCACTATAAACCCTGGCAAATACACTATAAAAACAAAATATGACAGTTAAAAAAAAAATAGATGACAGTTTCAATGGTAGAACTGCAGTAAAAACACAAACAGAAGGCAACAGTCTTTTCGGTATCACTCACCATATATAGTATAAGCCATCCAGCTCTTGTACTTGAACCCTGCCCAACAACTCAATTTGTAGAATTCCACCAATACAAAGTGCCGGGCGTGGAAGCTTGAAAGATTGAAAGTTATTATCCTATCAATTTCAACATCATTAAATAAAGCAATACCATGGAGATTCATCGAAAAAAAAAATGCAATACTATCATTCAATTCAAGGCAATGCTGCCACTTATTGTTTTACTTCACCCACATTTCCAGCCAAAAGATAAAAGTTTCAGTAAGAAACAAGAGGACTTCCTACAAAATGGCTTTATGACAATCAGCCATAAGACAAGGAAAAGACCGTACACATTCATGTTATTCCATGTCGACACAGGAGCCCATGAAACCCAAGTATGGTTCATCAATGATTTGATGACAATAATAAACATATGTGTAATGTCAACTAATGGTTTGCAAAGTGCTTCTGTAAGTTATACAGGTATTAGCTAAACTGTGGTGATCATGCTCATTCCAGGCAAAATGAGAAGTCCAGAAAATAGTTTAGTGTGTTTAGGCATTTCAATATATAATTGAGTTATCCTTTACCCTAAAACATAACAATTAAGAGGGGAGGTTTAAGTTTGTGAGTCGCCAAAAAGTCTTTGCTTTGCATAGTAAACTTGATATCTTTTGCTTAAAATTTATTCATTTGTAGGTCACTGCTAACCTTAACCGTAATTAGCTTAACTCAATGATAACTTTTATAGGCCATCATTAAACCTATTTTGGCTTGTTAGCACTGGTTCAAATAGTTGTGGGATGATTGATTTGTCATTCCTATCTGATCAGGAGAGCTGCTTTGGCTGCTTCTAGTCACCTAATCAACTCCATATATGCTACCATCTCGCTTCGAGAAAAAGATAATTTTCCACTCATACTTTTATAAATAAAAGAGAGTACTTAGAGCGTTAAAGATATACATTCATAAAGGAAAAGCAAACAAGTGTTCATCCTCTCTCAAACATGTGGCCTTTTTTTCTAGTATTTGATTTGTAACTTCGCAATTATTTAGTATTTAAATTTCATAAAATTAATATTGGTAGATGATAGCCTTAGCAATCACCGAAGGCTTGAAGGACTTGTGGAAAAAGTTGTCTTCCCCAATTACGATTAAGTGTTTGCTGAAGTGAGGTTCCTCTAGAAGAAGTGACAATATGGTTCCCCCTTAAGTAAGTTGACGTATGATTCATCTCAAAGACGCATCAAATTATCTCCATTTACAGGTTGCAAAAGAGTAGCTTATATGATTACAAACGTAGAGTGGAGTTCTAAGGGGCTAGGCATACACCTGGGCAATTGGGTAGACTAAATCATATAAATATCAATCGTCTTTGTTTTTCTATATAGATAAGCCTTTAACAATATTGCACATCAACTTGTTATTTATGCTCTCATGTATATTTAATGATCTACTTGGTTAAATGATCTTTATGTTAAAATATTGTGCTAAAAAAGCCAATGGCTCTTTTAAATAGAGATTCATGACTACCATCATAACATTTTTGTGTGGACATACGTGCTTTGGAGTTTGGAAAGATGAATCTTATAAGCTAGTGTCGTGTAAATATTACATGTAATTTTGATTATAATTCAAACACTCTTATTAGCGTAATCATTTATCCAAAATCACCACTTCTTTGTGCTTTTTTCTGCTTCTGGGCGATCAATTTTAATTGATAACAAGTTTATGTAATTATATAGTTGAGCAGCATTGACGCAGGACCGCGACTGTAGGAATCCGCATGAGGCAGAATTAGAAATTCTGTGACTGCGGGATGACTAACAAGGTGGGTTCCCATACCAGTAGCAACTTCAACAGGATTTTTTGCTTTTCTTTCTGGAATAGGCCATTCTGTCGATCCTTATTTTCTATTTTCAAATTTCTAATTAATTTCTAATTAAAATAGTTTTCTATTAAGAGACAATTTATACATTTTAATTATTGTTTTTAGACTTTTGGTATTTATTTTGCATATTTGAAAATCTTATTTTCTGAACTTTTGCTCTATGAAGTGTAATATTATCTTCCTTTAGCGAGTTGTGTGTATAGTTTACTCAGGAACAGGTGGCGGATCTCTCCAAGAAACCTTGCCTTGTATGAACCGATGTTTTGTGGTTCTCTTCACTGTGTTCAACCTGGATAGCCGTTGAACGTCTCCTATGCCCTTTCCAAATGCTGTCAAGCTTCCATATTCTCATTCTCTTGCTATTCCATAACCACCTCAACACAAAATACATTACCTTAACAGCTTCTAGGAACCCTAGAACGGTGTTAATTGATATCAAAGTCAAACAAATCCGAAAATTTTAGATATTTTCCCTCCTTGGTCCAAAACAAAATTTCATATAACCTAGCATAATAACTACATAAAAATTTATCCCCACACCGCCCATCTAGTCCAAACAATAATCCAAAATTGCTTTCTTAGTCAAAATTTTAATTGAAAAAAGAGACGACATGCTATCAAAGGAGAAACCCTTAATAAGGGGTTTAAGAGCTTACTATGAAGAAATTGTAATGAGAATTTCATAAATTGCACTAGAGGCTCGCCAATTTTGAAAGGAGACAAAATTGGGAAGTCACTCACAGCAACAAGGTAGCCGCTCAGAAGAAGGAGATGAAGAAAACACTTTTCACAAATAAGCTTCAAGCAACAAAGAGCAAATACCACATCAATTTGGTACAAAAAAACATATAAGAGGCTAGGATTTCAGAATAAAGATGAATTTATCGGATTTTGAAAGTCGCATGGATCCGGACCAGTTTATTGAGTGGCTTTAAATAGTAGAATAAGTGTTTTGAGTACAAAGACATTTCACCTGATAGAAGAAAAAAGTTATTAGTCATTTAAGTTAAACAGTATATCTCTACAGTGAAAATTTTGGAGTGCCTACATTAGCATGAAGGAAAAAATAAAAATCACCATCTGGTCGAAGATGAAAAGGGAGATGCGGCACAAGTACTTACCAGCACATTATATAGAGGACATGTTCTTGAGACTTCATCACTTATAACAGAAAAATCAGTCAGTAGAGTACACCGCCAAACTCTAGCAGCTTATGTTGAAGTAAAAACTAGTTCATCCTGAGGGGCTCATTATAGCCCGATATTTTGGGGGGATTAAGACCATCTATTGACAACTTGACATTATTATAATCTGTTAGAAATTACGTGATGTTCAAACTTTAACCCTAAAGGTGGAGAGAAAGCACAATGGTATCTACTACACCACCCTTCAAACACGGTTCAACCATCAGGTCAGGTATGAAGAGTACACAAAAAAAAGTACCCAGACCATCCCCACGTGAAGAGAAGCCAACGCACAAGGAAAAGAAGACTGACCAGACCAACACCCCCAAAACATTTCCGAACATGAAGTGGTTCAAATGTCATGGATAGCACATTGTATCCAACTGTCCAAATATGAGAGTAATTTTTTTATTGAACATGGTGCAATAAAGGAGCCAGAGCGTGAAGACTCATGGGAGGTGATTAGAGATGAGTGCTATCCACAGCTGAAAGTGAGATCCTTATAGTTCGATGAATTCTCTAGAAGGAGCCTAAGAGGGATCAAATGTGGCTCAAGCATAACATCTTGCATACCCATTATATTGTGAAGGGGAATTTATGCAGCCTCAATATAGATAAAAGCAACCATGAAAATGTGATATCTACATTGAGTCTCACTATCCAAAAGTATTCCCAACGATATTCCTTGACTTGTTTGAAGAAGGAAAATGAAATTGTTGTCAACGAAAAATGTCTAATACACTTTTTAATTAGAACTAAACAACAGGATCAAGTTAGACATGATGTACTGTCTATGAATGCATATCATATTTTGTTGGGTTGATCATGATAGTATGACAAGAGTACGATTCATAAAAAAACACCTAAATACTTAACAAGGTATGAAGCGCATTATAAGTCTATCATTAAATGAGTCGGCAGTAATAAATGCTCAGATAGAGGTAGGAGCTATTGTGCCTCTTGCTATTTTTTTACGAGCTATGATATAGACAATAGTGAGACCTTCCTTGGTGATGTTGAAAGTAGTGATAGGAAAGAGTCAATATCTAAAGCAGTGTGACCCTTACTAGAAAAGTTTCAGGATATTCTAGCTGACAGTATGTCGTATAGATTGTGACCCTTGTGAGAGATTTAGCATGTTATAAACTTTATCTCAAGATTAGTGCTCTCCAATCGACCAGCTTATTGGATGCAACCAACATATTATAAGGAGCTACAGAATTAGATTGAGGATCAAAGAGCTCAATGTCTAGTTTGTGCTAACACCAGTCCATGTGTTGTGCCAGCTTTGATTGTGCCAAAAAGGATGGATTGTGGCACGTGTATAGAAAGCAAAACTGAGAGCAAGATCACAATCAAATATATATTGTCTCAAAATTAGACAATTTACATGATCAATTACATGAAGCCGGTGTCTTATCGAAGATTGATTTGCATAGTGGCTATCATCAAATCAAAATAGGACCAAGGATGAGTGGAAGACAACCTTCAAGACACGAGATGAATTGTAATATGAGTGTTGTATCATCTTCCTTTTATGAGTGATGTGTCTGTAGCTTGCGCAATAATAAATGGTGGATCTTCCTCCGCAACGGCTTCTCATCGGAACCAACATTTCATGGTTTTTATGTTGTTTTCAATCTGGATAGTCGTCGAACACCTCCTACCCCTTCCAAACACCGTCGACCTCTCATATTCTCATTACCTTGCTATTTCACAACTATCTCCCCACAAAATCCACTTCTTAAGCACCTTCTAGGTACTTTATAATGGTGCCATGTAAATCATATTGTACTAAGCATAAATCATTCATCGATGAGCATGTTAAATTTTGCAAAGTTTATTGCTTACATAGCAGCATATAACACAATATACTTAGTTATCTTATTCTAGCTTCTGCACATTACTGTATTTAACATTTGTTGTTATTGTTGCGTGTAATTATTATTGCAACTTTTGCATCACATTATGTTTGATTGTGTGAGATCTAGACTGAAAAAATTTTGTGTTGTATGCAATAAGTGCACGCCTATTTCACACTCCTCCCTTCTAGTGTGTCTTGACTCTATAAATGATATTAGAGCAACTCTGTTTTTTGGACTAATACCACTTTAGATCCTAATGGCACACACTCCTGGTTTTATTTGGCATATTGGACGCAACATTTTAAACCCTCTAACTTTAGATGAAATAAAAATAATATTTGAAAAAAAAACATATTGATATTAAGTATTATAATAAAAATGCGGCATCTTTGCTTTGAATGGTAAATTACATTTTTTCAATGGATTTGACTTAAGCAAATCACATTCTTTAGCAATTTTGCGTTTACATGAGAGCTATTACCAAATAAACATAAATTAATAGCTAATCTCAATACTGATAAATTTATATTAGATACTAATTGCTTTGTTTGATAATGAATATAAGACAAATGAGAGAAAAAAATAAATCTCGAAGAAAATTTCCAACAAGCTCAAAAGTTATTAAAGTTAAGATATTTCCTAAGGAGAGATAAAAGAAGCAAGAAAATAAAGAGGTCCAATGCAAAGAAAACAAAGAAGATACAAAAGCTTTTGTGATATTGGTTGATGAGGTAGAGAAAGAAAATAAAAAAGAGAGCACCCCTCCTCTCAAGCTTGTTTTGAACCTTGAAAGCGATATAATTATTTCATAAGAAATTTATAATGATTTTGATGTGTTAACAATTAATTTTGAAAAATTAAACAAGCATACCAAATATAGCAAGAAAGAATCAAAATCTTATAGAAACTTCTTCATAAATTCAAAAAGAGAAAATGATCAAATTTTTTTATGACATTGTAAAATCCTATGGAAAGATTGTTCACCTTGAAAATGAAATTACTTGCTTGATCACTAAAATAAATTAAATACTTACTAGTTCATCTAGTACTTTTATGATCACATTCATTTGAATAGTATGATTAAAATCTGTAGAAGTTGAGAATGCCACTTCGTTAAACAAATGAACAAATTCTATCTGCAACCATAATAATAAAATAAAATGCTAGTCATAGATTAAAATTGAATGATTTATCTGTTACTTCTATTACATATTTTCCACATGCAGAAGTCTACACATGATTGTTGCAAATTTAAATCACATGCTAGTTTTACTTCAAAAAAAAATATCTAGTTCTTGTATGCATGCTTCTCATTTTATCAAAATTAACATGTACATACTAACTCCCAGAAAAAAAGAAATGGAAAAACCACTTTTGCATGTTCTTTCAAGCATATTGTCTACTTAACAATAATAGAATAGGGCATGCTGCATATGTTTGCTCTTTTAGGAGGTTTTCAAATGCTAAGATCGATGCCTCACACATGAATTCTAGAAGGAAAAGTATACAGTTCCTTAGCCCCTATACAAACTTAACACTTCTTTATGTACTAACATCAGGGGATATGCGCCTATTGGGATGCCAAAATCCTAGATTTAAGTTTGTTGGCAGAGGTTTATCTTCATCAAGGTTTAAAAAACTAGATCAAGCCGGCCGGTTCAACCGGTTCGGCCGTGAACCGGCCGGTGGTCTGGTCCTGGGCAGGTTAAAAACCATTTATGCATCAGACCGGCCAAAACCAGACTGAACCGGCGGTTCAACCGGAGAACAGTTGTACCAGGCACGATTCAAATGAACCGCTTTTATATTTATTTTTTTATTTTTTTGGGGAAATCCATTACCAAGGATTTGAAAATTTGAGATATGCAGATTTTTTTTGGGGAAATCCATTGAAAGCTAAGACTTCATTTTATAGAGATATAAATAATTTCTAAAGGCAAAACTACAGATTTGGGTAAAGGCAGCTAGAAGAACTTCTATGTGAGCTTTTAGGAATATTTACATGCATACCACTCAGATCTTATTTATTTACATATCTAACAACAAAACTTGTATTTTCTATATTTTTAGGAATATTTACATGCATACCAATCAAATCTTATATACTTAGGTATCTAACACCAAAACTTTTGTATAGGAATACTTACATGCATACCAATCAAATCATATTTATTTACATATCTAACACAAAATCTTTTGTATTTTTGTATATTTTTAGGAATATTTACATGCATATCACTCAAATCTTATTTATTTACATATCTAACACCTAAACTTGTATTTTTTATATTTTTAGGAATATTTACATACATACCAATCAAAGCATATTTATTTACATATCTCACACCTAAACTTCATTTTTTTATAAATATATTACTTAAATATTTTTTAAAAATAAAAAATTTTAGCATTTACATGCACTCCACTCAAATCTTATTTATTTACATATCTAACACCTACACTTCTATTTTTTATATTTTTAGAAATATTTACATGCATACCATATTATTTACATATCTAACACCTAAACTTGTATTTTTAAATTTTTTAGGAATATTTACATGCATACCACTGAAATCTTATTTATTTGCATATCTAACACCAAAATTTGTATTTTTTATACCACTTAAATAAATTTTAAAAATAAAAAAATTTTAGCATTTGTTTAATACATATAAAAAATTAATATAAAAAGATATAAATAAATATATTATTTAATTATTTAATTATTAAACTAAATTTATTCGACCATTGTCTGGGATCTTAACTTCATTTTCCATCCACACAAATCCAGAAACCAAACAGTTGCATCATTAAATTATATATCATCAACATTAGAATTATCATAGCTATGCGGGGTTGCCTTATGAGTTTGTAGTCTTCATTCATTCCTTTTAAGAGTCAATTAAGTGTTCGACATTTTTGCACAACTTCAAAGTTACTTTTAGTCTAACCCTAATCCCTTACTAATTCATCCAATTGATTTTATCAACCCTTCATAGTGATGAATTTTTCTACTTTCAATATAGATATCTATACCTCTAAAAGTTTATTTTCCATTGTATTCTCTCCCCATAGTCTCATAGCATTTCTTAATGTATCATTCCTAATTTTGACATGCAAAATGCCCCCGCCAAAAGCCTCTGTCTTACTAGATAACAACAGAAAACACCACAAATATCAGATAGTCATGTCCTTGGTTAACCTAGTGATGTAAATTTAAATTTTACAACTAACTCGAACAAAAAGAAGTCTGACCAGCACAAGCACAAACTATTCCTCTATGAATATCTGGGCGGATAGAGACATGTCAAGTAGGCATATTTATCTAATGGACAAAACTTCTTGTAAGAGCAACAGCATAGATCTCACAATAGCACGGAATCTTAGCTTACCTGCAACATGGGAAATTTTGGTGAAATATATGTCCACTCATAGTTATCACCAGCAGAAACTTCACATTCTATCCCAGTAGAAGTTTCAAGTGGTATCCGAGAATGACCCATCCGAAATCGAACAGCTTTTGCTGAATATATGGGATTTTCAGGCTGAAAGTAAGCTGGGGAAAAATTAAAAGTAATTCACGACTACTAGAATTACATAAAGAAAACAAGAAACTCAGGGTGGAAATTCTAACCTTCAAAAGGTTGTATAATTATTTCATTAACAACACATAACTTGGAACACAACCTGTATGTTAATGTCTCGGGCACTTCGGGATCACTTCGTCCCTCACTTGACCAATAGGAGGGTCTCCTGTCCACCTGATTGCTTGGCACTAATGTATGATCTATGCGCTCAGCTGGAAAGTTATCAGTGCTGGAAGCACGAATTGCCTTAAAAATGCAATCTCTTTTTTTAATTACTGAAGCAATGGAGTGGCCTAAATAGGAATACACTCTATGCTCTCTTTCTAAGTTCTTCCATTCTTCACAAGAACTGGAGCCAGCTTCCAAAATTAGGGCAGAGCATGCTTCCACTACACGTGTAAGATTTGATACCTCAGGGCAGATTCTGAAGCATAGGCTTCTGCAAAAACGGTTTGCTATAACTGCAAAACATGTAAAAATGTTTCAGAACTTACAGCTGCAGTAAGTAAATGGACTCCATCACAAGGAAGCTTTTATTACATAATGATTAAAGAAAAAACAAAAAGTATGCTAATTAATTATCAGAGATCATTTACACCATCTTGAAGCAATTATTGAACGGCCACAGGATAAAAAAATTGCCTAATAGTGGAATTAAAGTTTCATGTAACCTACCAAATGGAAAGAAAAAATCTATCAGATAAATAAATTATGTTACAAGATTGAAGTAAAATGCATCAAGTAATATAAAATATGGTGATAGAAGTTATATTAGGATTTTATTTATTTCATGTTATTTCCTATTTATGTATTTCCTTTTATTTTCGGCTAGTTATAGGAAATTCTGTTTTTAATTTAATTGATTTGATCTTGGAGATATGGGTATTATTTATTTCCTAAGTTTAGGATTCTTTCTTAAGTTTAGGAGATATGGGTGTTATTCTTCCTTAAGTTTAGGATCCTAGTAAGTTGTATTTAAGCCAACATTTTGTATTAATAAAGGTATTTGGCTCAATTCTCCGAACCTACATGGTATCAGAGCTAGAAATCTTACTTTGACCATCGAACCTCCAACCGCCTTGCAGAATCTTCTTCTTGCAGTAAAAATCTTTTCTATTTTTTCTCCAAGACCGGATCTCCTCCAGGCATCCAGAATTCTCTGTCGTAGTCCCTTCTCCAGTCAAAGCTGTCGAACCCTACTAAGAGTCAGGTGGACCATTTGATTAAGCTGTTTGGTTTTAGTCAGCTCTCCTCCGACCTGTCGAAATCTCATGTCAATCAAGATAATGTCTCCATGGTTGTCGTTGGTTTTGCTTCGAGTCCGTGAATTATCGATTCAGGTGCCACGAACCACATGACCAGATGTTCCCATTTTTTCTCGACATATTCTCCCTGCTCTGGGTGAGATACGATTAAAATCACCGACAACACCCTTAATTCCATTGCAAATAAAGAGTCAATTTTACCAGCAGCAAGGCTAACATTGGAATTTGTGCTACGCGTTCCTTGGCTTAAGTATAACATCTTGTAGTCAGTAAGTTAACATGTGATCTTGATTGTCTAGCTCATTTTTTTTCTTGATTTTTGTCTTTTAGGAACGTCGTTCGGGAAGAATAATTGGAATTGCTAAGCAGGCAGTCAAGCTCTATTTTTTCTAAGAAAACTATATCAATGACATAAGCATTCAATCTCATAGTTGTATTTTTTCCCTTTCTACTGCAAGTCCAATTATGCTTTTAAATTGTCGTTTTGGTCATCATTGCATTCATTATTTAAAACAATTGTACCCTTTGGCGTTTATTGATAAAAATCCATATACTTTTAAATGTAAAATTTATTAATAGCTTAAAATCAACGTGTATCATATTTATCTCATATGTACACTCCTTCCTCCCCTTTTTCACTTATTCATAGTGATTTATAGGGAACCTCTCGAACTTCGAGTTATACCTTATGGTTCCTAACTCTAATTGATGACCAAACTTGGATATCTTGGGCCTATATATCAAAAGATAAATCTGAAGCTATTGTGACATTTAAACATTTTCACTCCTTCATTCTAACCCAACTCAGAAGCACTATTCAAGTCCTTCATTCTAACCCAATTCAACTTAAACTCTATACTGGGAGAATTCTTGGTCAGTAAAGGCATCATTCATCATAGTTCCTGTACGGATATACCTCAACAAAACAGAATTGTTGAGCGGAAAAATAGATACCTTCTAAAATTTGCTCGTTTCATATGTTTCAAATTAATGTTTCTAAGCACTTATGGAATGACTTCGTCCCTATCACTACCTACTTCATCAATAGAATTCCCACAAAAATCCATAACTTTGGGACCCTATTATTATGTGATGTTTTCCTATCAACTGGTCTCCTCGTTATAACCCAAATTTTTTGGTGCACAATCTTTGTTCGAAATATAACCCGAAAAAGTAGTAAACTTGATCCCCACTCAATTAAATGTATCTTCATTGCTATTCTGCCACTCAAAAAGGTTATCGGTGTTTTGATCCAACCGCCAATAAAACTTATGTTAGTGTCGAAGTCTCTTTTTTTGAAATGTTCCCTTCTTCCCTAAAGCTGTCTCAAACATTGTTCCTTTTCCGACTCTGATGGACATATTTCCTACTCCTACAGCCACTATTCCCGGTGCACCTTCGGCCCTGCTAGATTCGCCGCTAGTCAGGTCAACACCACCACCACCCCCTGTCGTACAAAACCCTCTGTTGAGACTCGTTGTAGGCCTTGAAGTACGCTCCGGCTGACGTTCCCAGTACGATGCTCTCTCCACTAACGGGGGTCACTCTTGATCAGAGTGAAGATTTGAATCTCCCTATTGAGTTACGCAAACAATTACAGTCAAGCACACTTCAGCCACTTTATCCCATGGCAAAATGTCTCGTTCCGCTGCTATTTTTCCTACAAAGCATTTGCCACATCCTTGACAAATAGTTATCTCCAATCCACTATTGAGGTGGCTTTGGCTGACATATCCTAGAAGGCTGTTGTCATGGACGTGATGAATATCCTTCGACGCAACCATACTTGGAATGTGGTTGTTCTCCCCTTGGAAAAAGAAGTGATGGGTTGTAAGTGAATTTTCTGCTGCAAATTTAACTCTAATGAATCATTTGAACGCATCAAGGTGCGGTTAGTCGCTAAAGAATATTCACAAACATGGGGTTAATTATTAAGAGAAATTTGCACCGGTTGCTAAACTAAATATTGTCCGGGTCCTGTTATTCGTAATCATAAATCTAGATTGGCCCTTATTTCAGCTAAAAATTAAATGCTTTTCTTAACGACACGCTGCGGTGGTTTATATATCTCTCCCACCGGAACTTGACTAAACTTCTACTCATGGACAAGTGTCGATTGCGGAAGTCCCTCTATGGACTGAAACAATCTCCGCGGGCCTGATTCGAGAAGTTTACGCAAGTTTTAGTAGGCTAGAGTTTCTCTCAGGCCCAATCTGATCACACACTGTTTTTTCACCATTCGTCTAGTGACCATAATGCCATCTTTATTGTCTATGTTGACGACATCGTGGTCATGGGAAATGATCTTTCGGCCTTAGAGACTCTTATGGCCATCCTCTCCACATCTTTCGAGATGAAAGACTTGAGTTCCCTCTAGTATTTCTTGGGCATGAAAGTAGCTCGGTCCTCTCAAAGCATTTGTCTTTCTCAGTGCAAATATGTAACGGATTTATTGACCAAGACTAATCAAATCGGTAGTTGTCCCGATGGACCCCAATGTGAAATTGTTTGAAGTTCCCAATGATGTTCCGGTGAACAAAACACGCTACCAAAGTCTCATGGGAAAGCTCATTTACCTTACCCATATGCACCAGGACAGTTGTCACGTCATTAGTGTCGTAAGGCAATTTATGCATAACCCTGACGAGCACCATTTCACTGATGCCGATCGAATCCTCCACTACATAAAAGGCGCATCGAGCTCTGATTTATTGTTCACTCGTCACACTTCTCACTCTGTTACCGTTTATAAAGATGTTGATTCGGTCAAGTCCATCTATGATCAAAGATTTTATGTCGGATTATTGTTCCATCGTGTGGTGGAATCTTATCACTTTGAAAAATAAAAAATAGTTAAGTGTTGCCTGAAGTAGTGCTGAAGCAGAGTTTCACTTTGTCTTTGGGTGCGGGTGAAATCCTTTGTTTGCGCATCATGCCCGCAAGTTGCTTATGTCAGTCACTATTTCTCTGTAGCTTTTTTTTGTGGCAATAAAACTGTCATTAGCATTGTTCATAATTCGGTTCAACACGATCGTATCATACATATGGAGATTGACCATCACTTTATTAAGAAGAAACTCGATTCTGGGGAGATTTGTGTTTTGTTTGTTTCATTCGCTAGTCAACTGGCTGATATTCTCATAAAGAATCTTCCTCGCCCGTCGAAAGATTTCTAGTCCAAGTTGAACATCACTGACATCTATGCTTCAACTAAAGGGGAGTGATATAAATTATATTAGAATTTTATTTATTTTTTGTTATTTCCTATTTATACATCTTCTATTATTTCAGGCTAGATGTGAGTATCTTTGTTTTTGGTTTATTTGATTTGATCTTGAAGATATGGGTGATATTTCTTTCCTAAATTTATGATTTTTTTCCTAAGTTTAAAATATATGGGTGTTATTTCTTTTCTATGTTTAGGATTCTAGTAAGTTGCACTTAAGCCAATATTTTGTATCAATAAAGGTATTCTGTTCAATTCTCTAAACCTACATATGGTTATATATAAGCTTAGAGAAAATGGACCTAAAATTTTAAAGCTTTGAAAATGAGAGGTAGACAAAAAAATAATAATAGGAAATAAAGAGATGCTAGTCGAAGTTCGATCTTAGTCCTATTAGTTTTAGTAGTTGGCTTACTATTTCTAAATCCACAACACAGGTAGACAAAACTCAAACCAGGAACCGAATATGTTGTCACAAAATGTTTCATGCAAAACATAGTCCCAACGACAAACAATTGCAAATACCTCAAAAGGTAGGCAATTTACCTAAAGAACACATTTTCTAAAGCTTGCCTGCAAATAACTAAAAGTTTAGTAGTTGACTTAGTTATTATTTCTAAATCCACAACAAAGGCTACTAAAATGTTATCAATCAACAAAATAGTTCATACATGTTGAATCTAGATTTATACTGTGGGTCAAACTCAAGGAATAGAGCGTAGAACAAGAGAAAGAACGAGGGAGAGAATAAACTGTAGTTTTGAACGAGTATATTGACCTTTCTCAATCTTTTTTGACTAGGATCGTGTAACAATTATTCATAGAATGATCTAATATTTATAGATAGAGGAGGCATGACTCATAAAATTACAGACACTCCTACTTTAATAGGGAGTGCACAGGGTATTATTGGTATTTAGCTTTGGTGGGGCAATGAGATCTCTTGAAGTTCTTGACCCAATTATTTGGA